CAGAGCACTATATTTTGTTTTCTCTCTCTGGACGAACCGTAACATGGGGAATTTTCGTTCAGCAGAACCAATCATGTGTTGTTAGTTTTAATATTAGAGTGAATTGACCTATTATCAAACTTAAAGTTAAAATCATTGCCTTGTTACCTTTAGGTGTGTAAGATGGTTTAATTTCACTGTATTTACTTTTGTATGCAAGTTACGACAAGTTATGAGTAGGTATGTTAAATTTTATAATTAAAAATTCTCATTTTGAACATCGCAGCAAAATTGAAGTAGCGTAAAAAAGTCAACTTAAAAACACAGATAATGTTCTTAACATAGATTTTAATGTCGAACTTAATAATATTAAATTGACTCTGATATCAAAGCTAACTACTTAGTTCTGCAACGTGAATTCGCAATGATGGACATCGGTCAGAAATAAAAATACAGTTAATAGTGAGCAGAAGACATCCTCTTAATACAAAATATATATTGTTAATCTGAATGGAAATAATGTTCATATTAGACTGCATTGTTTAATTTTATTTTAATCTTCACGTATCTCATATGAAATTAGTACACATTTTTTTTAAACAAAAATAAATATATTATATTTTCCCGAATTTTTTGAATACGTCTAGCAGCATTATTTATCATTATAAATGTTATGATTCTTTTTATGTGTTAAGTGTGTATGTGATAGTTTAGCTTAAAGTCGCATGGAAATAGATCAAAATTAGAAATGTTCTCTTGGCTCACATTCTGAATTACAAACTACAATTATATTTTATGTTACCACGCCTAAACATTCTTTTGAAATGGTAGTGGATTAATGGACACCATATTGGGTCATTTTTATCCCCTATACAATACATCAGATAAAATTCAGATATGAAACTAAGTAGAAAGGTTAAAGAAATAATATAAAAGATATCCCTCGATATAATATACGATTATGTTATGTGTATACAATAGAATCATAATTTATTTTACCTGTATTGTGGGTCAAAATATACGCGTATACCTATAGCGTATATAGCATCATTGTCACTTTCATCGACGATGTTAAAGGGACGGGAAACGGGTGCGACTGGTATTATTTTCAATCCAGCCATTTATATTCTGAATTTAAACTGAAATACCTAAACAGTTTCGTATGTCTAGACGTTGGATTGTGCGTAAAGAATCGGTGTCTAGAAGTAAAAATATTTGCAAAAACCAGTGTTTGCAAAATTACAACTAATAGTATACAAGAAGCGTCGTAATCCTAAATTTGTTTTTTATAATATATTTAAACATAAATAAAATATATTAAATAGTTTTCTATATTGCTTGTTACAAATTTGAAATGTTATACTCAATGAATTATTGTAATTGACTGACTTTAAAGAATCAAGAACCTTATACCTTATCATATAATTATTATTATTACTATTGTCAAAAGAAAGTATGCAGACAATATTATTATACTTAGGAATCAATGCATTTTTGTTTTATTATACTCAGATTGTTTGAGAAGTAAGATTAGCAATAACTAATACATTGTTTATTTTATTTAAATTACTTTATTGAATGTGAAGAATGATAGTTCAAATAGATATAGACAAGCGAAAAGTATGTGGCAATAAATTGGCATATCCTGGCCGTAATAATAACGAATTGCACTAACCGAAGACGAGCTATAAAAGAGTTAAAAAAATTGTTACTTTCATCTGTTACCTAGTCGTAATTATTGTTCCTCACTTATCGTTTGGGACGCCTTTTATAGTTTTAGAAAGGTAAAATCTACTCCTTCAAAAGCGTATTGTAGGTAGGTACCTATACTTTAGGTTCAAGTATTAGGATCATTTAATTATAATTGTATAGTTAAAATAAACTGAACGAGATTATTGATATTGGTTTTCAAATTGTACCATAGTAAAATCTTTAGTTTTACACATTATACTTTCAATACAATATATAGGTATAGCATTTAGATACGTCAGGTGACACATACAGTAATTTATTGTTGACTGTTTTCGTAGTTCTATAACCCCATGAGTGATGTTGCAATACGTAACATACGATTGTGGGCTAAAGAATAGAAGTGAAACGGTTAAAGTACAATATATTTTTAAGATGCAATGAACCAAAGAAACATTGAGTGACACGAGCTTAGCATGATAACATTTAATCACAAGTTACGGAAGCGGTGAAAGATTCAATTTTTTTACGTAATCATATTTCTAAAATAAACGAAATTTACGTTACGAGCCTAAAAAATACCACATTTTTTTAATACCTAATATAATTAATGTCTATATGTAATCTCATGCTAGCGTTACGTTTGATTCCAACCGTATGGATACTAAATTATATCTATATTATAGTTTACTTTTTTTGTACATTAACCTATGTACCTAACACACATACTATTGAGTTTATGGAATCATAATATTTCTAGCGGCGTTCTCTCTATAGAAATGTATTAGATTATTTTCTTTGTTATACATTTATTAATTTGAATATTTTCACAGAAAATTTCTTATCGGTACAGTGTTTTAAATACGATTTTATATTTAAGTTTACACTTATCACGGTTTATGATATTCAAATGCTTCGACAAACGATTAAAAAAAAAAATGGTATCCTAACGTTTAGTATGTTAACAAACGTATGTACCTTTGGCAAACATGTAACTGATTCGAATATTACCTAACATATTATATTGTAAATCACTTTAATTATGTTTGATTAAAATAAAATTAATTCATACATTCAATAAAATATTAACCTATACTACTGTAGATAATTATTTCCATATAGGTAATTCTGGATCCTTGTACAGGTAAATGTTTAAAAAGTGAAATTGTAATACTATACAGGTTCTTGTTTCGGTAGTTATATAGTTATCCATAAATATTATATATGATGTCCCGTGGTCTGTGTTGATTTATCCATAGTATATTTGTCAACACAGACTATTTTTTTAGAAAAATACATTGACATACTATATACAGTATACACCGTATATAATATACCTATACTTACATACGATTATTTTATTTATACATAGATACTTAGGTATATATCATACCTATAATAAATTATCTAAACTTCTGATTTTATAGTCTAGCTCTCATTTGGATTGTTGTAAGCATATACCTACTATATTGCAACCATAAAAATTGTATTTCGAGTTAATTAAATCTAGTACATACTTTAATTTATAAAATGATATATAATATATACTAAATATGCCATCATACACTATACATTGTACAACATTATAATGGTACTTAAAAAAACGTTATAGTCCAGTGGAATGATGATTTTAAATAGAGAGATCAAATTGAGAGTTAGCGGTACCGTAAAAATTATATTTCTGATCACAATTAAAATATATGATAGTAACCACAATGTAGTTGTAATTTGTAGTAGGTATTAATAATATTATGAACTACCTAATTAATATTATATAATTATGCAGATATAATATTATTATTGAGCCATTTATTCGATATTCATTAAGCAGGTTTTCACTAAAAAAACAAGGTTAAGGTCACGATCGGGGAAGTACACTTCCTGCTTATAAAGAATAATTTATTTTATTAAACAAAATTTTACAAACATATTTTAAGGTTAAGCTTAGTTTTACACCAGACTCGAAACAACACACGTACCTACTTTTATTACTTATTAATGATATACATGTTAAAATAACGATATGTTGACTTTAGTATTTTACACATTTGTTTATTATACAGCATGAAATATAAAGTAATTTTATTATAACGTGTATATTATTAATCCTGATATTTATCAAGTACATCTTGGTAAAATAACCAGAAGCAAACTCACATGTTTGGCCCACTGGGGTGGATTTATTTTAGCACCCCTTTCCACCGCCCACCCACCCACTAACTACTCGCCAACCATTAATCGCATTATTGCCAATATAAAATTTAGTTTCTTTTATAAAATACATAATTCACTATACTCAGCAGGCAGCAGCCTTTCTAGCAATTCAACTGTTCCAGGTAGAGAGATCTTATAGGTCGTAACGCTATTATAGTTATATATTTTTAAGGTATGTTAACCTAACCTATAACACTATTCGATTAAATTTGATTATAAAAGAATATTAACATTCTTACATTTAACTGTTTTGAACTAACAAATAGACTTATAACATGTATGGGTATTTTAATTGTGAGCATACAATCAATTTAAACCGTATTTTATTCTGCAATATAACATTGTTTTTTCTCTATATCCTTAAAATGAGTGAAACCGGAAGATGAAATACGTAGATTGTAACTTTTCCAAAAATCCTTGACCATGGTGAAAAGTGCCAACTATTGTTGTTGGCATATTTAATGGTTTTAATAGCCGGCCTTTATTCATTCGTTTAAATCGTTCTAATTTTAAATCTGTCCCAACAATGTGTTGTAATGTAGGAAAGTACAAGTTACTCAAATGATAATGATAAGTGTGGACACCGAAGTTTCACTAATAGGTTAATTATCATTGAGTTTATAAAATCAAACGTTAAAAATGATAATTAATCGGTTATCTGTTTGCGTATTATATAGGTACCTACTACCTACTATGTTCCGTTCGATTGCGGGACGCAAGAAGTCGTATCGCAATGAAATAATATGTACATTAACAAAAACAAACAATATTATAATATTTTAGCACATTATTCTATAGCTACGACCGGCCGCGAAAAAAAAGTACCTGAGTCGTAAAAATAACCGTTGCATCGGAACGCGCGGAGCGTAGGTACTAAATGTACTGCGAGCAGTGCACCAATAATAAATTCGCGCGTAAAATGCCAAGAAAATCGCGAGGTAGTGGACATATTTTCGGGGAAGAGGCGGGGTAGAAAGAGGGGAAGGACGAGCGCTCGCGAAATACAAAATAATTATTAATTATTAATAAAACACGATTGTACAAAATGTGATGTCTTATGAGGGAGCCCAGGGACATAATAACAATAGGTAATTATTATTATTATGATTGTTACTCACCGGAAATATTATAATGCGTGTTCCCAGTTCCCTCAATCGGCCAGAGGAGTCCCTTTTCTCCCTCGTCGTCGTCTTCTCTTCCTTATGTTATTACGGCTCACGAGTGCGAACAACGTTAATGATTATTATTATTATTAAAAGATTCTGCGACAGACCGCGAAAACGCTGGCACCTTGTGTGCGGCGCGTGCGGCGACGTCGACGGCGGCGTACGGTATGGGCGTGCGTTGTGGCGCGGGCGCGTGTGACGCGAGACAGACGCGGACGGACGGACGGACGGACAGACGGACGAACACGCGCGCTCGAGCGATATGGGATGCGATTATTTTGACCCTACAGACTGCGGCGGCATCGGTGGCGGTGGCGGTGGCGGTGGCGGCGGCGGCGGCGGCGGTGACCGGGCGGCGTCGGATACGGTCGGTGGTGGTTCGGGCGCGCGCGCTGGTCCGGTACGAAAAACGTGAATCAACTGGTGGTGGCGGCGGCGGCGGCGGCGATGTGGTGTCGCGGTCGAAAAAATACGATCCCCCCGGAACGCGTCGGCGGCGCGAGATTCGTTTTTTCCTACACGAGACGCGATCGGTCGGTCGTGTCTGTGCGCGTTTTCACCTCCCCGCGTACGCTGGCGGCGTCCGTCGTCGTCTGAACCGTCGTCGGCGGCGATGCGACCTTCGCTGACCCTCGACCGCAGCGCTGTCTGCCGCCGCTGTTAAACTTTTGTCACGTGCGCCTCATCATTATAATAGGACGTACCTATCCATCTAGTATAAATAAAGTATAATAGACGACGTATAGAGAGGTAAATGATAATGACAATAATAGTACCGTAGGTAATACGCTCTCGTTTTGTGAGCGATCGCATTGTTATTATTATTATCGTCATCGTCGTCACTATTATTATAATATTATCATACATTATTATTATTATAACATTGTGTCGACGTCGCGACGGCGATGGTGACCTACGCACGACGAACAGTCTTTTCCCACCGACTTTGGGCAGGGGATACTTAGTCTGACTAGTAGTCTGCAATCTCGTAACACTATTATATTATTATTTTCCGAGAATTTTATTCAACTCGTATCTACCGCGTGATCGACGTTATGTAATACGAATGACATTATATTATAACTACAATAAATTATTGTTATGCAAACATACGTCATTATGATTATAACCATACCGCAACAGGTGCTTGCTGTACCCGTTAAAGCTCAAGCTCGGGCACTTTCATGAATCGTAATTTTCACCACAGATTTTATTTGTTTTTTGGATATTTTAGATTAGTGTGTAGAAACGCATTCACAGGCCAATTTATAATAATACAAATTAATATAGTAGGCAAAAAAATAACAATTAGATTAATTAATGACAATTTAAAAGTATTATTAAAGTTAGTTAAGTTAGTTGCTTAAGCCAGTTAAGGTATAATTTAATTTAACAATAAGATTTATATTTGTTGATAATTATTATGGTAGGATTACCACTAGAGTATATAATTATGAAATTATATACAATTAAAGTAGACACGATATACAAATATATAATATATTGGTATATAATATGTATAATACCTCGTATTACTGATCCGGTGTCCTCGAGAATATCATCTATTTTGGAGAACGAAAAATATGCCTTGACGGGCCACAGCTTGGGTCACATATTTTGTTACTTCCATTCAGAAAAAAATGTTGGGCAAGAAAGGTCATCAATAATAATGTTTAGTAGGAGCAAAGATATTGTTCTACCCTCCTGTCTGAAATTCGAATTTATTGAATTCAAACAGAATTTGTATTTTTTTTTAAATTGAGATTGAATATATATTATTATATATATTGTTCTGTATTGTACTTTATATATAATTACTTAAGTTCGGAAATTGTGGCTCTATATAACTTTTTAAAACAAAGCACTTAATATTAATCAAAAAAGCACAAAAAAAATCCTAAAAAAAGCACCCTAACTATTTTAAAAAAAACCCACAAAAATTTGTATATATTCGCGTATTAATTTTGTTTTATTATTATTTGATATATTACTATGCCTATAATAGATAACAGTTAATTGTGTACTATAAATTGTAACTAAATACATAGGAAATAAAAAAAAAATTTAAAAAATTGAGTTTACAGCTTGTGAATTGTATGTTACCATAATCTGTAAAATAGTTTAAAATATAACTTTAAATAATTCTGCTTCTCCTTCAACTATTTTAAAAATAATTTTTTGTACTTGTGATATCTGAGTTGCATTAAACGTTTAATTTTTTTTTATATATTTTCTGAAAAGAATAAACGTCGCCGACACTTAAATAAAATATTGTTATAAATTGCGATTCTTTAGATCATGTAATATAGTTTCTTATCCAAGTTATATCGATAAAGTCAACCCATTAAATCAAACATATTTTAACGAGATAAGATCAGTTGACTCGGTTGAGCCATGTCCTTGAAACACATTATACTCGTATGATATAAAAATATTAACCTTTCAAATACGTTGATCTAGAACGCAATTTGAAAGAAATTGTAATAAACACAAAACAGAAAACTTAAAAGTGATAAAAGCACAAGAAAAGCCCAAAAAAGCATTAACAAAATAATACATAAAAAAGCAAAACACAATTTCAATCTATGTAGTATATTAAATATAATTTATAGCTTCAAATACCTACGAAATCTCAACTCTAGTAATAATTACTTATATTAGTCATTAGAATATTTATATTGCATAGATACCTACTAATACTTGAACTTATATGCTAATTATAAAAATTGGACAGTAGGTGGTAGATAGTTACTTGATATATTTTCAATAATTTTACAAAACTTCGACGACTTTTATATAATTATTTTTCATGTAAAAATTATATATTAGTGAATTTTTTGAAGAGTAAAAGACAAAGTGTCACACTATCACTTCATCCTAAATATATTTTCACAACAAAATAATTTACATATTTTTGAAAAAAATATATTTGTTTAAATGCGTATAAGTAAAATTTTTACATTGTATTTTTGATATTATTTATTTGAGGGAAGAAAAACTTACGGAGAACTTAGTAGGTAACGGAAAAGCAGGAAACATGAAAAGTCTATCTATAGAAAAAAAAGAGGCTCGTAATTAATCTCATGTTTATGAAAATTGAAAATAATACATAATAAATATACTCCCAGAATATTAAAGTCTCCACAGATATACATTTTTAAATTACAAGAAAAAAGAAGACAATTTTGTCAGCATATATTGTTTTAAGCTACCTAATTAATTATTGCTACAGGTATTTATGCCGATATTGGGCATTTATTTTTCTGTTAGTTAACGAATGGTTGAATTGATTGATGTCAAAAACAAATTGCATATAATATCACCTGTATTAGACAGGTCCAGATTTTAAGAAAACATTTCATCTTGCCTTTGACTTAGTGATCGCATGTATTTTTGTACCCGTTATAAGAGTTTAAGACTGAATATGTGAAAGTATCTCAGAAACATTTTTAAGACTATCATATTATAATGTTTAGAAAAACACCAACCGTCTGTATACTTATTTGTAAGATATGTTAATATTGTGAGGGATAGATATATTACTACTATTGTTATTGTAGTAAGGATACTAAGAATACTATATTGTTGTCTATACTATTTTCATCATCAATAGATTTTAAAAAATCTTTTCAAATTCAAACACCCAAAAAAAGATTAGGTACCTACATATTTGTTTTATTGTTTTTATTAAGTAATTTTCAATTACGTATGTCATCTTAATTTATTGTGGATTAAATACATTTTTTTTAGCATTTGAAAACTAGATAACAGTAAGTAAATATACCTACATAGGATATGTATATGTGTGTGTTTATAAGAACGACTTAATATGTAGGATCTTGTTGACCAAGCCTAAGACTTTTAATGAAGTGCTCATCAAAAAAAATTATCTTAAAATTAGTCTAAATATTTTAAATATGTCATTGTGTATAGGCAATGTTAATTTATTTAAGTTATAGTGGAATTTCTTAAGTGTCTGCGATTAATAGTTTCTAAATAATAAGAAAATAACAAAAATCGTTAGATGATGAATCATTATTATACTTTTAATTACCCAACATCGTCTGTCACTAAAACTATAATTAATCATATTTTATTGATAAATACAATATATATCATTTTTAACATTTTTTTTTCATATAAAAAAATATAATAAGAATGCTAACGTATTTTGAACTTAATTTATATTATACACCTACGCACAAATGATCGAAATCTCAAAGTTTTGAAAATTTAAATTCTAATGTTATCATGTTAAATAATAAAGTATTACAATTCAACAAAATTGTATAAGTACCCTATACCATTAGGTAACCTACCTTATACTCTTGCATAAAGTATGTATTGTTGACTTACATTATTTTGGAAAAATGAAATACCTGCTGTAGCCTTTAACTAGAATGAAACGATGAATGTATATTATAATAATAACGTTAAAATGTCATTATAATTTATTTACGCTTTTGAATTTTTATATTTCTTACATACCTATAAGTCTTAAAAAGATTAAGAATTAAAATGTATTACTTTCAATATGCAACAACAAAGTTTGGTTTTCATTTTTTTTATTTAAGATTTTAATCTTTGCATGTACTTGAATAAGTCTTTATACTAATAACATATAGTTTTTTGATTGAAAAAAATATTGACGAACGATATAGGTAGGCATACAACTGTACAATGCAAATTAATAGTATGAATTTATGATTATTATTTGAAATGAAATCGTAAATTGTGAGATATATTATTTGATGAAATCTAACTGAGTTGTTGTACGAGTATACTGAAACTGATCGATAATCGTAGTTTTAAAATGATCATCAGTAAGTTGACATCATAAGATTGGATATATTATATATATTATATATATATTATATCCGGTAAATGATGCGCTTCAGTTAATATGCGGAGGAAATCTTCAGCAGTCAACCTTAGGTATATATACAGTATTATATATAAGTACGGGATATAGTAATTAGGATTTCAATTTTAAATCACGCTACAGTTAGAGTAACAAGTACAATGTTAGAATATGTTTATATAATTTATAATACATATACTATATAGGTAGATACTTGTCCTTGAAATAATAAAAAAATATAGATACTTTTAAGGGTCCAACGATATTTCGTTAAACAATGAACTATACGTTTTAAAACTGGGTGGTTGAGCAGGTCCCAAAATCGTGTGTACCTACCTATATCTTGGTACCATAACAAATCTGAAATCGTTAATACGAAATTATACGTAGTTTAAAAAAATAAACTCACTATAATTATAATAGTCAATATACCTGCATATTAAAATACCTACCTTTTAATGCTATC